CTACAAATAGATCCATCCAGCACATTCATAAACAATGCCACCCGCAATTTTGAAGACTTGCCTGAAAACTTTCTGGACAATGTCAGTCCGCAGCAGAGCACACAGACGTTAGGAACGTTACTGAACGATCATGCCAACAGCCCTCAACTTGCGCCTTTGGCTCCCATGAGTATAGGATCGGATCAGAGGTTGTTCAGACAACACATTTGGAAGGGATCTTATGAAAATTAGTATTTTTGTAGTGGACCTTACATGATGTCCATTGGAAGTCAGTACCAGGATCAAATACGACATCCGGCTCTTGAAAAGTCAAGACTTGACAGGTTAGATGATAATATATTTGCTTTAAGCTTTATTACTTAGCTTTACCATCAGTGTCACTGGGTTACTGTTGATGATATGAGCTGCTTGTTTGTAAACGTTGCTTTTTTGATAAATGATCTCCTGGAGATCTTGTTTTTCATTAGTGTTATTCGCTATTTGCCAAGAGCAGAGTAGTCGTGCGAGCAGCGCATCCTTGCAGACAAAGTCATTGTTGAACGTGTTGGAGAACTTGCAAAACTTTAGCAACTTTTTCTACCAATGAAAGTAATTTTTTGTCAAAATTGTACCCACTGTTTTATTTTCTTCATTCTCATTTATTCGCTTTCTTTAGCTTGCCAGGTTTTTTAAAGTCAAATCTTCAGTCTTATAATCAAAGGCATGTGTTTGATTGTGTCCATTATAGCTTCGGTACCGGACCTGCTGGTCTGTTGTCCCCTCTTCATTTGGATAGTCACACTCGCAGACATGGTGGTAATCCAGAATTTGCACGCCATGTCTACATCAAAGTAAGTGAAATTCAATCTCATGAAATCTATTTTCTCTTTTCTACCTGCATCTTATTTATTCGAACCTTAGGAGGAGACGGATCCGCTTGACACTGCATCCCATCACTTACTCATGCAGCAGCAGATTCCGCTTTCGACTCAACAGCAACAACAGCAGCAAGAGCTGGAGCGAATCGCACAGGCAGAAACACCACCAGCCGTGAGCAATGTTGAGTTGGCTTCGACAATGATTGCCAGCTTGATCGGAGAACAGGTACCTTTTATCAGAAGTCTTGCCAGTTTTTGTGCCTTGCTGAAATATCCATTTAGCGCACATCCTCTCCTTCACCTCAGAACTATTCT